CCCCCCCCCCCCATCACTGGGTCCCACGGGTTCCCCCCCCCATCACTGTGTCCCAGGCCCGCCCCGCATCCCAGGCTCGCGCAGCGCCGCACCGTGCCGCAGTTGAGGCTGCGCTCCACGCGGCTGAAGGTGTGCGGGACGCTCTCGCCGCGGCCCGGCATCACGAGGCACAGATCGGTGACGCCCAGCGCCGCGTGGCCGCGCTCCGCCGCCCGCCGGTACGACAGGAAGCAGCGCGGGGCGCCCGGGGCGCCGGCCGCCAGGTTGGCACAGCGGCTGTACGGCGTCGTGTCCACCAGGCGGAAACCGGGGCGCGGCGCGTCGCGGCCCTCGCAGTGAACCCTGCGGGGCGAGGGGGGCTGTGGGGCACGGCGGGGCGCTGCGGGGCGCTGTGGGGCGCTATGGGGCGCTATGGGGTGCAGGGGGGCACAGCGAAGCCCTATGGGGTGCTGCAGGGCACAGTGGGGCGCTATGGGGCGCTATGGGGTGCAGTGGGGCACAGCGAAGCCCTATGGGGCGCTATGGGGCGCTATGGGGCGCAGTGGGGCACAGCGAAGCCCTGCGGGGCGCTATGGGGCGCTATGGGGCGCAGTGGGGCACAGCGAAGCCCTATGGGGCACAGTGGGGCGCTATGCGGCGCTATGGGGTGCAGTGGGGCACAGCGAAGCCCTATGGGGTGCTGCGGGGCACTATGGTGCACTATGGGGCATAGTGGAGCCCTATGGGGTGCTATGGGCCACTATGGGCGCTATGGGGCGCAATGAAGCCCTATGGGGCGCTATGGGGCGCTATGGGCGCTATGGGGCGCAATGAAGCCCTATGGGGCGCTATGGGCCACTATGGGCGCTATGGGGTGTAGTGGAGCCCTATGGGGCGCAATGAAGCCCTATGGGGCGCTATGGGCGCTATGGGGCGCAATGAAGCCCTATGGGGTGCTATGGGCGCTATGGGGCGCAATGGGGCCCTACGGGGCGCAGTGGGGCGCTATGGGGCGCAATGAAGCCCTATGGGGCGCTACGGGCGCAGTGGGGCACAGTGGAGCCCTATGGGGCGCAGTGGAGCCCTATGGGGCACAGTGGGGCACAGTGGAGCCCTATGGGGCGCTATGGGTGCTATGGGGCGCAGTGGGGCAGCCGGCGCTCACCCCAGCTCGAGCAGCGGCGGTTTGTCGCGGCCGCGCCGGTAGCACAGGAACATCTGCGCGCTGTGCAGGAGCCCCGCGCTCAGCTCCGCCGGGCGGCCGCCGGCCGTGCGCTCGATGCACGTGAAGCCGTGCGGCACCTCCTCGCCCTGCGAGCGGATGATCAGCGCCACGTCCGTGATCGGCTCCCCGCGCCGCGCCGGCCGCTGCTCCGCGTCCTCCAGCGGCCGCGACGCGTCCGCCAGCCCCGCCACCACGAAGTAATCCAGCAGCTGCGGCGGCCGCTCCTCCGCCATCCTCCGGCCGCGGGACGGGGACCTGCGGGGACCTGCGGGAGACCCCAATGGGGCGGGGGGACCCGATGGGGATGGGGGGACCCTAAAGGGGGGGGGACCCCAAAGGGGATGGGGGGGGGCCCCT